GGATGAGGGGAGGGGAGGGGGGGGAAGGGGAGGGGAGGGAAGGGGAGGGCAGGGGGAAGAGAGACTGCACCCGCGACGACGTCACGGCAAGAAGAGGGAAGGACTTGATACACACACACACACGCGCGCGCCCTGACAGCCCCCGGTCAGCGTCAGGCCCGGCAACATATGTAATAAACACATCCGCACACACATACATACATACATACATACATACATACATACATACATACATACATACATACATACACGCATACACGCGGCTCAGATCATCAAAACACACTTCCCCCCACAGACACACACGTTGACACACGTTCGTCCTTTCTGATTTCCCCCTTCCTCCTCACCCTTCCTTTCCTTTCACGGCCGTACCCGTATCCGTACACCCGTACCTTGGCTTTCTTCGCGGGCGCCAGTAGCTCGTTGCCCCTGTCCCACCCCGCGGGCGGTCGGCGCTGCCGCTGCTTTCGCTGTAGGGACAGCGGCAACTCCTTATCATCCTCAACCGATGAACTGCCGCGACGGCTCCTACCGCCGGCTGCAGCAGCAGCCGGCAGCGGACCAGCTACAGCCGCCGCCGCTGGCGCGGCGGCGGCGGCGGGCGCCGACGCGGGGCTCGGACTGGGGCTGAGTCCAGCTGACCCTTTGGCGGCGGCTCCTTCGGCAGCGGCTCCTTCGGCGCTTGCGTCGGGCTTGGCCGCCGCTGCTGCGCCAGCAGGTGGAGAAGCGGTGGCGTCGGTGGTGGCCGGCGCTTCGGCTTCGGCTGGGATTGGGGGAGGAGGCGGCTTCGCCGCAGCGGCGCCTTGAGCTTGGGGTGCCACCGCCGCCGTTGCGGCCTCAGAATCCATGGGCTCCATAATTTTCGGAATGGTGAATTGTTGAGGTGAAAAGTTCAGAAGGTAATGTGTGACTCAGTGCGACTCCAAGATTGTGACCTGCTGTCGGCTTCTCGATGCTGCCCGCGAGGAGGAGGAGAGGAGTTCGGGGGACCCAGGCGTTGGCGGCTTCGTAAAAAAGTCACAAGTTCACGTTTGCGTGACCTGAGGTTTAATAGCTGGCGTCACCGGCTGCGGTGCTGGCTTTGGCGGCAATGGCCGCGTGATGGCTGGAGCGGAAGCGGGAACCGCGGCCGTTGCTGTGTTGCCGCGACGCCGAGGCTTGACAAAGTTGAAAGACGTGAGCGTTGGACCCTAAAAGTATCAGCCTGAGCGGCTGTTGCACCCTAACGGCCGTCCTCCTATAAAGCTGGATGCGCGTCTTGCACGGACGCCACGGCGAGCAAAGATGACAGCGTATGCTGAGACGTTTATAAACAGTCAGAGTTGTGTGCGACGGACATAAGATTTGCGGAACTGAAGGTTGGCCATCGGGGACATTGCATGAGGGAGACCAGCGGCAGCGGCGTCCAGCGTACGACCGCCGTCCTGAGAGCCGGCGCACAAAACCTAAACATCAAGCTACGTTGTGGATATAGGCATCGATTGAGCAGGTGGTGATGACGCCGTTTGCCAACTGTTGCGCGTCAAGAAGTTCATGTCGTCATTGCCCTTTCGAAGCCTGTCTTCAAGGTCAACCTGGCCGTCGCAGTTAATATCGTTTTATTTGTCTAGACGACATGCACTTCTTTGTCTCTTTACGCTGCTGAGGAAAAAACCCGCCCTGGCAGGCAACAGCTCCCAGTAGGCAACAATACAAAACCCGCCCTGGCATTTTTTGTGTTTTTATAGCTCTCCATGCATGGAATTGCCTCGTCCCATTATCATGCCTCCGCGCGCGGGCAAGACTTTGCGACCGTCGGCTTGGGGAGTTCAAGAACGAAGACAGCGATCGGAGCTAGTGTGCAGTGGGTGTCCTGTACTGAGCTTTCTTCTCAGCGCAAAACATCATTATGGTGAAACGGCGAAACCGCAGGACCGAAGGACTGCCAGCCCCCTGCACGACTGCAAGGATTGGACATTTTATTCTTTGTGCATCAGAGTCCACATTCCTGTTAGTTTTTAATGCCAAGTCGCACATGAATTGGGTGCTGATCTTTCTATTATGGGATCCCAAAGAGTCCGTCGCGATAGGGTTTCATGTATCCCATGACTGTTTCCTTAACGCTGATGCATGTATATAATGCCAGGCAGCTAGATCACTCTTGCATACTCTCTCTCTGTCCATGCTTCATTCTCTTTCGGTGGCCCCGAATTCATCCCCAACGCCGTTGGTGTCCAACAGACCGCTGCAACCACACCCTCTTTGCCGTGAAATACACAAGGAAATGTTTCCATGTTGATACCTCGCACCGTGAAACTTCCAGGATGCGAGGATGGTATACATACATTGTCCAGAGATCCCCCAAGGCGGGAAGTGCTGCTACTATTTCTTGAAGCAAGGGTCACCATAATCAACTCAAAGAGAACCCCGTTTAGTTACCTCACAGTTTTGTCTCAAATGCTGAAGGGGCCTTAAGGGACACGGAAATTATAGAGAACAATCGCCATCACCGCCAACTTGGGGCAAACTGCAAACTGTCGCGTCACTAAAGAACATGTCGCCGCGACAAAGTGCGTGCGTATGGGAAACTGGTACATACACTCGAAGACCGCTGAAGGTGGGTCTCGGTCCCGGCCAGCAGCTCTCCACTCCACTCTAACGGGTAGGCTACTAACCTACAACGGCCCAGATGGTGTGGTGTGGCAGCACCCTTTTCCTCGGGTAGCTCTACCCGGTCACCCGAAGAAACCGGGACCTGTCCGGGAGGGGGTCTCTTTTGCATCACGTCAAGAAAGACCCGCAGCGACATAATATGCCATCAACTGCTACTGGACGGTGCCGCTCAACGTCGGCAGCCGGCCGCCGCCGCACAGCCAAGTACTTGCACTCCATGGAGCTGCCGCCGCCGCTACCGCCGTCGTGTGGCCAGCCGGCTACGGTTGTACGGCATTCTTCCCGAGGAGGATGCCGTACCATGCACTTATATCAAGGCCGCCTTGGCAAATGGCAGTTAGCTTAGGGTTTTAAGCATTTAGTAATTAGCTTTTTAGCAATTTGCTTACCCTGCTCGCTCCGTTTGCTGAGATAAGAGGTTTAATATCACACATCCACAAGGTTGGCCACACGCGCCGGGGCGATGGGGGTTAGCAATTATAACGGACTTTATCGCGAGGGTGGTTGTGTATTTCGCAAGGCGTCCCCTCCCCCCCACACACACACGGTAAAAACACAGCGAAGCCGGAGAGGCTGACGGACAGACAGACAGGCAGACAGACGGACGGACGGGGTACAGCTACGCAAGTGTGTATAGACCGGGCGTGTGGTTCCCGAGCAATATGTGTGTGTGTTTTGGGGGGGTGTTGTAGGGGGTGTAAGCCAGTGTTTTCCATGTTTTAATAGCTGATGTCCTTTTAGTCGCCATTATCCTGTAGTGACGATCACAGGATTATAATCCGTAATGGATTGCCGGCACCCAGCATCGCCAAAACTGCCACTCATTTTACATCCCGCTACCTACATTCCCGCGTCACCTAACGAACAACTGCACCTGCGGTACGACACCTGATCTGCGGAGCGTTCTGCTCCTCCCCTCACGCCCCAGACAGACAGACAGACAGACAGACAGACAGAGAGCATGTTGCAACAACACACGCGAACCCCATGCAGACCTCTTGCACGTCTGGAATGTCATGGTATGTACACCCCACCAGGTCTGCAGGTACACCACCAGGTCTGCAGGTACGTCGCAGTGTTGTTGCAGAGAGGGGGGCTATGAAGAAAAGGAACGGAAAGGATTGTGTTATTAAGGTGCCGGAATTTCTCAACTCCCAGCACTGCAGAAGGGCCCTAGGGTCCTTCCTGTTTATTACTTGTTAGATGAGCTGATTGCCGGTCTCTTCAACGCTTTGAAGCCATCGCAAGCCAACGGCGACACTTTCCACCATTAAAATGCTGTTGTTGTAAACCCTTTGTGGCGAAGCAATGCGTGCAAGCTGCGAGGAGAGCATCCTTGTCGGCTGTGATGATAAGGAGGATAAGAAGGAGAAAACGCAACAAAGCACGTCAAACATGATGATTGGATGAGTCAAACATGAAGGCGAGGGTTAAGACGAGGAAGAGGCTGGGGAACTGCTCGTGTGCGAGTTCCCTGATGAAGGTCGACTGCCAGTCAGCGCCAGCAGTGCTGAGGCTGGGGTTGGCGTCAAAATGGGAAACTTGCCGACACAAACATCCCGTATATCATTCCGTTTGCCATTCTTTTGGCCATCTAAGTTTAGCTGCAAAACAAAAAATTAGCATTTGGTTTAACCGAGGTTTCTGGACAACACAGGCACAGTGCTGTAACAGTTGTCTTGTAAAACTGCAGTTCAAACGTCGATATCCTGGTGTTTTGTGTTGCAGTGTCGAGGCGACTGCGATATGGCAAGCTTGGTATGGCAAGCACGCAAACTTATGGCAGGACTTATTGAAGGATTTAAAAACAACTTGCTGCCTTTTTACGGAAATTCGCTGACATGCAAGCGTGCTGTTCCCCCTCCAGATATTAATATGCAAGAATGTACTGAAACCATATGAGGACGTGGTTACAGGGCGTTCATCGGCGCCATAACGCCGCGGATGGGGCAGGCGTACACTTATCGATACGGCGACCAAAGACTCACAAGACTCAGACTCCTTAAATGCTGACATTTGACCTTTTAGAATCAGCCATCAACCCACATAAGGATTTAAATAAACAGCAAGCTGCTGCCTTTAGGACATTCACAGCAGCACCGGCCCTCGGTTGACAGTAGCTCCTGCGAACAGTTCCGGAAGCAAAATAATTAGCGATTAAACATCCTCTTTTTATTCGAGATTTATGAGATGACAAAACTGGCTGACACTGGGGACAGTTGGGCGTCGTCTATCCCGGGAAGTGCACGGGGATCCGGAATGCGAAAGAAATCCGATACTCGCTTGCATGAACTCTGTATGCAATATATACGAAGCGATGGTTTGACAGAGGATTATACTTAAATACCGGTTGCGGTAACCTGACCCGGTGCACACATACACACGCACACACATTCCTCCCTGATAACTGGCCTTAGCGGCTCTGGTTTACCAAACCTTGCACCGTTGAGAAGCCAAACATGCTAAGTATATTGCATAAACAGCATTGCTCAATTATAGGATTATCCGTTACGCCCATCGCGTTTTGGGCCGTGGTCCATCACTTTGAAACGATGGATCAAAATGGAACAGCAATGCTGCCTGAGTTGGATAAATTATCACAGTTATTTTGTTACGTTGCATTCTTTATGCATTTATTATTGACTGTATTCTGGCCAACGAGTCGTTGTGATAAGTTCAGGTGTCCTTAGGTGACCCACTATTATTATGCGCTGTCTTCGTATCGGTGCTAAACCTTTGTATTATTGGGCAACGCGCGCTCGTTCAGGCTCTCCCCTTGTTGCAGTTGCCTCCCGAGCAGCGCAGCATCGTCGGATTGGAGCGACAGCGGCCACGCGCATAAGCACTGGCTCTATAGACGAGCCGCCTCAGGACATCAGCATGCTCGATGAGGATGTCGCAGCGCTTTTTAGCCACGCGATGCCGAAAGCCGAAATCGGAGCACTCAAATTTCTGCAGGTAAAGGGGAAAATTAACTCGTCAGAGACTCTTTTGCCCGGATGGCCATGCATACCTAAGGGGACAGGATTGCAGCAGCGTTTTGCTGCAATTCGGACTCACCCCAACCTCCCCCGTGCCGGCCATCGCGCCACTCTCCACCTGGGTCAGCGAAACATCCTCTCTCCACAAACCCTTCCACAAACCTCCTTGCCGTCAGACTTACCCCGAGTACGATGGCCGAGGCGTCAAGATTTGCATATTCGACACGGGCGTTGACCCAGGTGCGGCCGGCGTTGCCCCTTCCCACCTACCTCACGCCCCCCTCTCTCCCATGCCCCTTTCCCCCCTTCCCCTCCTGCCTCCTGCTCACCCTATATTGGCTCCCTGGCCTCCGTTCCTTGAAAGCTACGCAACGTTCCCACCATGTCCATTCCTTCACTCTTGCCTGGTCATGAACGGCAGACTTTGTCTGACCCCCCTTAGCCACTCTCCGCTGCTACGGCACTACGGCACTACGCAACCCCACCTCGCCCCGTCGTACATCCTAAGCTGTTTCAGGCTGTTACAGTTTAAACCTTCGTCTAAACCTTCTGAGATATCTTACCTTGCCCTGAGGGCACCAGAAAGGCAGGAGGGCACCAGCACCACGGACGGAAGACAGATAGGGGGCTGTTCAAGACCCTAAAAGACACGGCAAGGTGGATTGGTGTAATCGTCGGGCATCAACATCAACATCAACATCAACATCAACATCAACATCAACATCAGCATCAGCATCAACATCAACATCAGCATCAACATCAACATCAACATCAACATCAGCATCAACATCAACATCAGCATCAACATCAACATCAACATCAACATCAACATCAACATCAACATCAACATCAACATCAGCATCAACATCAACATCAACATCAACATCAACATCAGCATCAACATCAACATCAACATCAACATCAACATCAACATCAACATCAACATCAACATCAACATCAACATCAACATCAGCATCAACATCAACATCCCCCCCTTTTCCCTCGTCAAATCAAAAAGCAGCCCCAGACCCCCCAAGAGCCCGTGGTGGTGGTGGTGCTTGTCCCTGCTGCGCCATTTCGGTCTCTCCCCCACCCGCACCCACCCGCACCCTCGCACCCCCACCACCTCCTGACCCACAGGCGCGGCAGGCTTGCAAATTACATCAGACGGGAAGCCCAAGGTATGTACGGAAACGTACGGAATCTGCCCTGCGTGTGGTGTCTGTGTGTCTGTGTGTGGTGGTGGTGGTGGTGGTGGTGATCTGCCGTGTGAAGTAAGCAGGCTTTTGAATGGTCAGCTGATCTGGGTTTGGGACCTGCATGCTATTGAGCATCATGTAATATGATACGTCAGGGTCGCACATGTGGACGTGTTTTGTTATCTGCTTGTTTCTATGCCCGAGTACGGCTACTTACATGACGTACATGTCCGTGGGATAGAGTGCGAATGATGTTCCATGATGCTGCTTGTCAACGTAATCAGTGCTAATTACTTTTATTAATACGTTTGGTTTTTGGATTAATCGGACCCACTACACATGTGTATGTGTGTGCGTGTGCGTGACGCGTCCCTTCCGCTGCCTTGCTATACCCCCATGCCCCCATGCCCACCCCGCCTTCCCTCTTCCCTGCCTTCGAATTTTGCCCTTCCTGGTTTTGGATCCAGATCTTGGACGTGATTGACTGTACGGGCAGCGGTGACGTGGACACCTCCCGCGTTGAGAAGGCGGACTCGGAGGGCAGGCTGACGGGCGCTAGCGGCAGGCAGCTCAGGGTCGATCCGGGGTGGAGCAATCCGTCGGGTGAGAGTGGGGGGTGGGAGGGGGGAGGGAGAGGGGAGGGGAGCGGTATGGGGGAGAAGTATGAGGGTGAGACAGGGTTTATGGGGGCTAGGGATGAGGGAGGTTGGGATGAGGGAGGGAGGGAATGGGCTCATGTCGGGCTCGTGATTTCTGAGCTGATCACGCTTCGTTCTTTTCTTAGCTTCACAGCTCACACGCATCAGGCTTACAGACATACATTCAAACCCATGCAACCTTTCCAGCCCATTCGTATGTTTGTTTGTGTTTTATTCCTCTTCGCTGAGTATCGGCACCCCCAACCCGCCCCCGCTCCCCATCCCCACGCACACACGCGCGCGCGCACATATGCGCACAAAGGGGAATGGCGTGTGGGCTGCAAGCACGTGTACGACCTTATCAGTCGTACTCTGGTTACGCGGCTGAAGGAGGAGCGTAAGAAGAAGTGGGAGGAGGCGCAGCGGCGGGCGGTGGCGGAGGCGGTGGCGGCGCTGGCGAAGTGGGTCTGCGCTTGCCTTAGGCTCTTAGCTTTGGGATGGTGGGGCGATGGCAGGGGGTTTGGGGAGGGAGGGGTTGGCGCCGGAGAAAATACACACATGGCACACACACACACGCGCGCGCGCACACACACACGACACACATACACACACACAAACACACACACACGCACGCACGCACACACGCGCAAACACACACACACACACACACACACACACACACACACACACACACACACACACACACGCACATGCACGCACGCAACACGACAAATGCACAGACGCATTCCCAAGCATGTAGCTGCGCTGGACAGGTGTGATGAATGTTCCCGCACACGGTGCGGGGTGTTGGGGGAAGGCTGGTGTTTCGGTTTCACGTAAAACACACACACACACACACACACACACACACACACACACACAAATACACACACACACACACGCGTTCCTTTCACCTCCTTTTCCCCCTTCCCACCCTCTCTTTGGATATCTCTGGTACTCTTTTCTTCCGTCGTCAGTGGGGGTCATAGCCTGATGCACACACCGCTTCGGAGACCGGCGGTTAAAAGCGGTGTGCTGCATCAGGCGATGACCCCCATTGGAACGACGGCAACAGGAAGAAAATACCATTCAATTCTTCTTGCTTCCTTGCATGTGATCCCACCCCCCTTCTCCGTGGTTCGTCTTTCCCCCGTTTTCCCCCCCCCCTTTTTCTCCCCCCCCCCTTCCCCCTTCAGGTTCGACAAAGACACCCCCCCCTCCAAGTTGGGGTCCGACTCCGTGCTTAAGAAGGAGAGAGGGGAGCTGGAGGGCCGGGTCAACATACTCAAGGTGTGTGTGTATGTGTACGTATGTGTGTCTGTCTGTTACATATTGATCCGGGCCTGACGCTGGCCAGAGGCACCTAACCGTATACCCCAACGGTAACGACGGGTAATCTCGGCATTCAACACCCCGACCTACTTCACCCGGGCTGGGTGGGTGGGTGGACCAGCGGTGGGATCCAAACCCACAGCTTTCGACACGGCTAGATGCAGTCTCTGGGAATCGAACCCCAGACTTGCCGATTATCTATGTTTGTGTATGTGCTTTGGGGGGAAAGGAAATTATTTTTTTAATTTGTAGTCAATTTACCATCTGCGGATGTCCGGATAGCGCCCCTGGGCCCCCCCCCCCCCCGCGATCCCGACCGGCATTTCATCCCCGCCAAGGGAGTTTTAGTTTTATCGACATGGCGGGGCAGTTTTCGGTTCGTACAGCCTGGGCTTGGAGGGCTGGGCAGTACCGTGTGGGGTTAGGGTAAATATAGTATATATATGTATTTACTACATATTTACTACATATTTACTACATATTTACTACATATTTACTACATATTTACTACATATTTACTACATATTTACTACATATTTACTACATATTTACTACATATATGCGTATTAATATATG